ATCACTTCATGTGTGCTAGGAAGAAGGACTGTAGGTTCTTAAGTAACAAGGAAGTCTATTGCCAGCAGCACTCCTCTCTACCTGTTACCAGTGACACTGTTAAAGATGAGGACATGAGAGTTGATAGGTGTATCATTATACACACTGATAATGACAGGCCTGGGAGGAAGTTCACTAAATCATTTCCACCTCAAAACATTCAACTAAGAATAGGTACAGCATAATGACTAACATATGAGTATTCATTAATATGTACATGTACATGGACACACATTGAGTATAGAAATATTCTCAGGCTGTTTAGTTATGCCTTTAATACAGTGGTATACATGTGCTTTTGTATAGGTTTGTACCAATTTAAACACACCCACACACACCAATATAATTAATTCACTAACATACATGTATATGTACATGTACTGTACATTAATCATTTACTATTCTTCTCTTTCTCTTCCATTGTCCATAGGATCATTATTAATACGCTCCGCTGGGTCCCTTTCTCCTCTCTCTGATACAATATCTCCGTCACTTCTCATCCCTCACAGTTTCTCCTCCTCCTCTCTCTTCTGGAGCCTGACCACGCCCACCCAACGGATCACCTACACTCTCACAGTATCAGCTGATCTTCCTAAGGAAGAGCCACTCCCTTTAACCACACCTACCCCTGAAACCCCGCCCACTTCACCTGGTGATTTAAGATGGCCGTGTGTCAGTACTCAAGTTAGTAGTGATCCTGATAATGAGGGGGTGTGGTCAGCAGTGTCCTCTAAAAGTCAAATATTATCCAGTCCGTCTCTAATTAATAATAGTGTAACGGACAAGGTAAGGGGGTGGGGCTGTAAGGGGGAGGAGCTTTAATTAATTAATTTTATTTTATTTTCTTCTCCAGTCTAATCCTGAGATAGCTCTGAGGATATTTCGTATTCCAAAGAAGACTCGTTCCTCTTCCTCCTCTCCCCCTCCTACCCTCGCCATTGGACTAACCATCACCGCCCCCTTACCAGTAACCAGTGTCCATTGTCCACAGTCACACAGAGAGGAGGAGACCGTTAGACCAGTGTTACCGTTAGACTCACCCGCTCTCAATCAGTGGGAGACAGGGTCACCTCCTCATAGTGTGAACAGTGTCCATTATGAGCTCAGCAATGAGGAGGGGCAGTCATGGAGGGGACCTGATCTTAAAGGTAGTGATACTAATAATGATAATAATGATGATAATAATAATATGTACATGTACATGTTAGTGTTGCTTTTTGGTAGAAGTTATTAGTGTACATTTTACACATTTTTTGTATGTACATACACCGTATACATGTACACATACATGTACATGTATATGTACATGTATATGTACATACA